ATCAGTTCAATCAAATTGAATATTGTAGATTTTCAAATCATAAACAGATGACAACTTTTGATTGAGCATTTTGATTCTGAAATTAAATCACTTCTTTGTTGAAATTTCCAGCTTGTGATTTATTTTCCAATCTCCAATTTTTTTGAGTTTGACGATGAAAAAAATACCTCAACAAGACCATCCTCCGGATACGGAAGGGAGTAATTTGCTTGCTGACAGGATTTTTGTGTTAGAGAGAGCAATTGAAACCTACCAAAAGGAAAACAATAATCTCCGTGACTATCTTCAACAACTTGTAAATATATGTAATGGTCACCCGTTATTGAATAATAATAATAATAATCCCATCAAACCTGTAAATAATAATCTGATCAATACCCAACCATCAGAAAATGAAAATCTATTTATTACTAGAAATCCAGTAAATGTTAGAAATCTACCAACTAGTAGAAATTTAATTAATGGTGGAAATTTCTTGACTGAGACAGTTCAAATATGCGATAGTAATCCTAAAAATAGAACTGTCAGTTATGCTGATATTACAAGATTAGCTCCTATTAAAGCTCAGCCATCTATTAAGAAAACAATAGCAAAACAAAAATCAACAACTAATAAGATGAAAAGAAATATGGCAACTAATACTAGACCTAACAAACGTAAATCGAGAGTATATTAATATCCAATATCTATCCCAAACCGCTTTTTTTGGATATGGCTTTTTAAAAAGGGCAATCTGGCTAAATTTTTACGGGCTTGGCTTTTTGGATAAATCTTGGATTGGATAATATTATTTGAAAATGTGTCGTGTTTGAGCAATTGTCAACAAGGAATGCAGGCAAATCACTCTACGAATATTTATTAGATTATTATCAATACTAATTGCAATAAATCAACAATTTTTCGATATAAATTTGGAATAATTTATTTTTGAAATAATTCATTTTTTAGTGGAAATTTCTTGACTTATTTTTGGATTTAGGTTTTGGCTTTTTGGTTCAATTTGGCTTTTTGCCGATTTTTTATTCACCTATATCCAAAAACTGGTTTGGGATGGATTTTGGATATTAATATACTCTCCGTAAATCTAATTACAATCTTAATCAAATAATTAATGTAATTTGCTACAAAGATGTTACTAACGAATTTGTTGAACAAATTACAGACCTACTCGGTGACTCTGTAATCATTAGAGTTAATCGATACTGTAATAATATTATTAATGTAATTTGCCCTGATGAAACCAGTTATAAAGAGTGTTTCAATCAATTAGTGCAAGGAAGTCATGGAGGAAAATTCATATTAGAATGCTTTCCATCTCCAGCAATCTTTAATCCTAAACCTTTAGCACTTTCACATACTACTTCCAGTAAAACTACTCACCTTAAAATGCTAGAAAACATTATTAGCAAATATATATTGGAAGATAATATTTCTGTTGAGGACTCTACACTAACTATTCTCATAACCAATTTATAATTAGAATATCATTTGAGGATCAAACTATTTGCTCTCAAATGGCACAAAATCT